ACTAATATAATAATAATATATATATATATATTATATATATATATATATATATATATATATATATATATATATATATATATATATATTATTTTTCATTCAGAAGTGCAAAAACATAATCAGATGTTCAAATAGCTATGCCCTGATTAGTGGTTAGATAAAGAGGTAATAGAGCTTTTAGTAGAAAATTAATTGTTCTTTTTCAAAGAAACATGTTAGTATGTACTGTGTAATTTCCTACTTGTAGTTACTGGGAAAAGAAACTATCCTTGTGTTAATCCCATCTTCAGTTTTTAATTTCTTTATATAATTTCTTAAAATTATCAGTGGTGGTAATTTACTACTATGCCTCCTCCTGTATTCCATTTCAGTAGCATTTTTTTACTTGTTGATAGTCCCTCTCCCTCCCCTTCCTAATAGTTAATGCTTCAATTTTTTATAATTTTCTGTATAATCATGTCTTCATTTTTTTTCATATCAACCAACGTGTGTATTGCCATTCCTCTTTCATATATCACATTTCTTAGTTGTATGTGTAATAGAAATTTTTTAAGACTTAAATTCCAAGTTGAAAGAAATCTCTAGAGAGTAGTTCCCAAACTTTTCCTGAAGTCATGTACTTTCTTCCAAACTTGGCCTGCATCCATGCACCCCCTTTCCCACCCTCACATGTGTTACTCAAAACTTAATGTGTTTACAACCACACACATCATCTACTACCTATCATGTACAAACGTCATGTGTTTAACCCTTTCACTCTCAAGACCCCTGCTCACAAACTTGCTCTCAGTGTCAAATATTAACCAAAAAAATTTTTTCTTATGAAATGATAATCTTTTTCCAATGGTAATGACACCAAAAGTACAAAATTTGATGGAAAAATTACAGAATTACACTCTTGTGAAGTTAGCAGATTCAGCCATATATACGCATGGGCAATTTCACCCTCTTTGAGCCTATTTTCAGCCAATTCCATTGTTCCAGTCAACCAAACTCATAGCTATTTCACTAGAACTCCATTTGTTTCATCAATTGAGTACAAGAAACAGCTTATTTACTGATTTCAACTACCCAATAAAGTGGTCAGAAATTGGCAGTTTGGCCAATTTCACACAAATTTCAAAAGATGGCAATTTCAAAATAGGGTCCAGAATAAACATTGTAGACATTCCTGGCACTAAAATAACATTTTCTTTGTTCATTAGACACATCTCCAGGCCCCTCTATTACTCTTGCTTTCCATTTTGAATTTTTATTCACACAAATAGAAGATTTACTGTTATACAGACTACTGAATTATTGTAATAATTGTATAAATAATGTCAACCCATTCGTGATTGCGTATTAGACTGGCCAGTTGGACACGTATGGGACACGTTATGTCATTTGTTTACTCTTAAACCTCGGCAAAAATCGAACATTTCCGCTACTTTGAGCTCAATTTCAAGGTACTTTTTATCATGAAACCAATCAAAATCATCTCTACTTCAGTAATATAGCTTCCATTCTATCAAATGAGACCAAGAAAACGAGGATACAACCATAAATACCACATGAAAATACACCTCAGTGTTGGCATTTTAAACCCAAAACATGGTCGGATTTTTTTTCTCATTTTGCACTGCATGCACTGACCACACAAATCCATTCTCTCACATGTAGGTCTACCAGCTTTCTCCCGCTACATTTGAAGCCGCTAGAATTTTGGCATATTAATACGGCACCAACACTGGCTTGTAAGCTGTACAAATATGACACCGAAAGTGAAAGGGTTAAAGCTGCACTAAAAGATAATCATGCACATTTCATCCATTATGAAACCTAATGAACATGAATAATAATGCAAAAGTATAAGAAGAATTAGATCGATAAAAGATAATACTCTATTACTAATATGTTGTTGCTTACCCATCAGTATGATGGATGGGCCTGCATTTCAGCACAAATATTGGCGACTTTGGCAGCAGTCAAAGACAGGTTTCACTCTTAGAGCTTTCTCAGCATCCATGCTCAGGTGATACTTTTTCTTCATTTCTGTGAATGCAGAGAAACCAGACCATAGGTATGTCATGGCAAAGGACATCAGTACTCTTGAGGCTCGCTTGTGGTTGTCATTTGAACTGTATTTACAGTCCCTCTACCTTTGATGTACCTTTGAGTTTTGAGAACTTTTCTACTCCCAGAGCCCATCCATGGCTAGGCTTAGTCTGCAGCATGTCTGGTCAACCAGGCTGTTTCTGCTGGTGCACATATCCATCAAAGCCTGTTTATGGTAGTATGCAGATTTGGGAAAAGGTCCTCAAGTATATATTATCATGTATCTTTCTCCTCCACTCCAGTGAGTACATATTAGGACTTTCAAGTATTACAAGTAATTTAAATGCTTTATTGGCTCTATGCAGGCTGTAAATGATATATATATATATATATATATATATATATATATATAGGTAGTAGGTTGGTAGACAGCAACCGCCCAGGGAGGTACTACCGTCCTGCCAAGTGAGTGTAAAACGAAAGCCTGTAATTGTTTTACATGATGGTAGGATTGCTGGTGTCCTTTTTTCTGTCTCATGAACATGCAAGATTTCAGGTACGTCTTGCTACTTCTACTTACACTTAGGTCACACTACACATACATGTACAAGCACATATATACACACCCCTCTGGGTTTTCTTCTATTTTCTTTCTAGTTCTTATTCTTGTTTATTTCCTCTTATCTCCATGGGGAAGTGGAACAGAATTCTTCCTCCGTAAGCCATGCGTGTTGTAAGAGGCGACTAAAATGCCGGGAGCAAGGGGCTAGTAACCTCTTCTCCTGTACATATTACTAAATGTAAAAGGAGAAACTTTCGTTTTTCCTTTTGGGCCACCCCGCCTTGGTGGGATACAGCCGGTGTGTTGAAAGAAAAGAAAGATATATATATATATGTTCCACCTCTGATATCTCTCTCTTTCCCTGAATGGGACCATTAACAAAACAATATTTCAAATGAAGGCACAAGCGATTTGAAAAATGTCACCATTGGCACTATTGTGGAGAGTTTTTCTCCAGGAGGGGGGTATCAGCCCCCTTCAGCCCTGAGGGGTCCAGCCCTCTCAGAAGGGGTAAGCATCTTGTTTACTGCTACAGCAAGTAATTGATCCCAGATGCAGTACCAGTATGCAACGTGGTCAAGCGACCGAGGCTCCGTGCAAGACTCAGTGTTGCAAAGTGTATTTTAATAAAAGACACTCCATATCTTACCTTAGCAGGACAATTAACTCTTAAATGGTCCAAACGTATATATACGTTTTTTCAACATCTGAAAGTATGTAAAAAAATGTAGATCTTCTTTTTTGTTTTACATTTGAAAACGTGTAAAAAAAACTTTTATCTACATTTTTTTTTGTTACATTTGAAAATATGTTAAAAAAAGTAGATCTACTTTTGTAGCACTACGAATTTGAATGTTGATTTGTTTGGACCGTTTAAGGGTTAAGGAAAATCCTGCTTCCACTTTATTACCATGGTAAAGATTGTGTACATTGTTGTCTATGCTTAAGACAGCAAGATTCAAGCATTCTGCTTTGCTTCATGGAGGAAGTGGCAAGAAAGCAAAAGTACTAGGTCAGCTTTTCCTTTATGTGCTAGGGGTAGTGACGGTGTAGGACGCCGTGACGTCGGGAGATTACTTTTGACTCTACTGAGAGTCACACTGATGCCAGGATAACCAACAAAGAACACTGATCCGTGCATTAGTATGAACAAAGTGTCTCACAAAACACAATAAACACTTAAGAGAAGTGTGATCAGCTTCTTCAGTGATAAGATTATGAACAAGAAAGACAAATCTTGTGGAACATAGTGTACCAGTGTGCGTATTCCTAGACTATGGAAGACGTGGACATCCAAGGACACTTCAGCTTCTATCGAGTCACCAATACCTGTCGAAGGTGTGAAGAACACCATAGCTCACGCTACAAGAGCAAGGTAGGTTACGAATTTCTTGTAGTACGGGGGACTGCGCAGTTCTTGAGTCCCAAGGAGTTTGTAATCAACCTATAGTTGGCAGTGAGGTGCGGACTTTTGAGTCCACACAAGTAAGTTTTTCAGAATCCGTGAATGAAATATGCTGACATAACACCCCCTAGGGGTAATTTATTGTTTACATAATATGATCTATTACAGCCTGTTGAGAGATGATAGTGACAACAATTCAAGACCTCGTCTGCAGGGGCGGCTGTGTAGACGATTTGCTGTCTTTTATCAGCTAAGTATTCCCTATATTTAAACTATATCTTAGCTGGTAAGACATTCCTCAACATTTTGTTTTTTATCCGGTTCGAAGGACCAAAATGTTGAGGAATGTCTTACCAGCTAAGTTATAGTTTAAATATAGGGAATACTTAGCTGATAAAAGACAGCAAATCGTCTACACAGCCGCCCCTGCAGACGAGGTCTTGAATTGTTGTCAATATCATCTCTCAACAGGCTGTAATAGATCATATTATGTAAACAATAAATTACCCCTAGGGGGTGTTATGTCAGCATATTTCATTCACGGATTGCTGACAAACTTACTTGTGTGGACTCAAAAGTCCGCACCTCACTGCCGACTATAGGTTGATTACAAACTCCTTGCGACTCAAGAACTGTGCAGTCCCCCGTACTACAAGAAATTCGTAACCTACCTTGCTCTTGTAGTGTGAGCTATGGTGTTCTTCACACCTTTGACAGGTATCGGTGACTTGATAGAAGCTGAAGTGCCCTTGGATGTCCACGTCTTCCATAGTCTAGGAATACGCACACTGGTACACTATGCTCCACAAGATTTGTCTTTATTGTTCACAATCTTATCACTGAAGAAGCTGATCACACTTCTCTAAGTGTTTATTGTGTTTTGTGAGACACTTTGTTCACACTAATGCACGGATCAGTGTTCTTTGTTGGTTATCCTGGCATCAGTGTGACTCTCAGTAGAGTCAAAAGTAATCTCCTGACGTCACAGCGTCCTACACCGTCACTACCCCTAGCACATAAAGGAAAAGCTGACCTAGTACTTTTGCTTCCTTGCCACTTCCTCCATGAAGCAAAGCAGAATGCTTTGACAGCAGTGAGGGGACTTGAGCTAGAGTTTGTCACAGCCACGCTAGCTGGAGATTCGTCCGTAAAAACTTGCATTTGTGGTCACAGTGGTGCCTATGCTAACCTTCCTATGGTGTAGAAATATACCTAGTTGGACGAATCTTATTGTGGCTGGCTGGTCCAGTGGCTAACGCGACGGTCAGAATGCTTGAATCTTGCTGTCTTAAGCATAGACAACAATGTACACTATCTTTACCATGGTAATAAAGTGGGAGCAGGATTTTCCTTAATTGTCCTGCTAAGGTAAGATGATGGACTGTCTCTTATTAAAATACACTTTGCAACACTGGAGTCTTGCACGGAGCCTCGGTCGCTTGACCACGTTGCATACTGGTACTGCATCTGGGATCAATTACTTGCTGAAGCAGTAAACAAGATGCTTGCCCCTTCTGAAAGGGCTGAAGGGGACTGATACCCCCCTCCTGGAGAAAATCTCTCCACAACTATTGCCCTTGTTTTGAAAGTTCTCATTATCCACCACATCATCTTGCTGGCTGTTTTGACACTAGCATTATTGTGTTCTTTGAAATAAAGATCAGCCAACATAACTCCATTAATTGCTTCTGTTGTCAAATGACAAGTATATGATACACAAATAATCCACGACATTTTGGTCTGACTTGGACCATTAACCAGTTACATATAAGTGCGAAGGAGAGAGAGCCAGTATATACACAAGGGGGGGGGCTGGGAGAATGGGAGGAGGTAGAAGTAATGGCAAAGGTAGTGGTGGTGTTAGCAATAGTAGAAAATAGTGCAGTAGTGACAGAGGTAATGAGAAGGGAGTAGTGGTAGTGACAGAAGTCAGAGAGTAGAGTATTAGTGAGGCAATAGTAGTAGTATTATGAGTGTATGAGTGGGAGAAACTTCAAAGCACACAGATCTGAGATTGATCCATGATGAAAATATATATCTGTAGCTATGACAGGTGCTTGAGGTGTTTGCTCACTATAAGGCCTTTCACGTGTCGTCCAAGACATTTTCATTTATTTTGACGAATTCTTGAAGTGTTGGAACTCACTGAGGGAAATAGTATTATACAGATTCATTAAAATGCCAGTTATTTATCACTGCTTTGACCTTGTCTTGTGTGTTGAATACTGTGGCTCTGACATCCTGGAGACATAAATTCAGTTCTTTCCAAGCCAAAAAATGTCTACCATGCATGCTAGTTTTTATAGCCAGTTTTCTTTATCAGGCAAGAAGAAAAGTAAAATGGGTTGTCTAAAAACTGTTGCTGAACTTAATATTTCAGTTCAAGAAGTCTTTTTAAAATTTTCCCATGGCACAACTAGCACATTTTAGTGTGAAGTTAAAGTGTCTCATGTCCACTGCCCATTTTTGAGCAGCATTATAAAAATCCTTGACGTAGCAAATTAGATTTGATGGAGAATATCATATTCACTGATTCAATGAACAGTGGCAAACTCATCTGGCATTTTTTAGTAGCAAGGACCTCTGTGAATGCCACAGCTGGCATTTTTTTTTTAACAGCAAAGACCTCTGTGAATGCCACAGCTCACATTTTTTAGCAGCAAGGACCTCTGTGAATGCTACTGTTGGCATTTTTTTTTATCAGCAAGGACCTCTGAGTTCTACAGTGTATCCAGGAAACTGATGGAATGACTTCTTCTGATATGAGCAACAAATTCTTTATGCTTCCACTGTTGACATTGCCATTACAGAATTTTTCTCATGCACCCCCATAGATATCACGTCACAAACTCCCACAGGTTACCTTATGCATTCCCAGGGATGCATGCACTAAAATTTGGGAACCATTACTCTAAGAGATCTAAAGGATGGGAACATAGGTGTACTGCCAGCAGTGATAAATTAAAGACACGTGTAGAGTAAGTTTTTTTTATGATATTTTCCTCAATGGACAGCTCTATTAAATCAAGTTCTATATATACCTTCGATGGATTTTGAATTTTCCCACCCCTGCACCTTTGCCTTTTTGGGTCTAAAAGCTGCTAGCTTCCTGTCCCACCACTTTAGTCCACCAACTCTGAATTTATTATTATAATCATAGGGAAGTGCTAAACTAACAAGGGTCATATGGAGCCTAGGGAATAGAAGTCGGGAGGTAATCAGGTCTGATCCGAGGAAGGTAGAGTGCTAGTTCTGTGAATCAAGAGCCCATCACTAATGTGGTGCCCCTGTCCCCCATCCCCATTCCTAAACCAGCAACTCTGAAAAGGACTGAGTGAGGTGTTTTAGTGTGTCATGGTGCTACAATCTTATGTGTGTTGATGAATAGATGTTTCAAAATTTAAACGAGGTAGTAAAATACCTCACTTACAGAGCAGCACGTATTTAAGCCTTATTTCTTTCTTCTTTTTCTAAGGGAACGAGTCTTTATACAAAACCAGTGGTAATACTCCTTTACATATGTGTAATAACCTGTTTGTAGCTTCTGGAATAGATTTACACTCATGGCATATAGTCCTCTATAAACAATCATACAAAGTTTGGCTATCAGTAGTTGCAATATATTTCCTTCATCTAGTGTCAACTCCAGCTATCTACCACTGCTTGTGAAATATTAGTCTAAAGCCCTTTCTATGCCATTTATATAATTACCTATTTAAAAACAGTTACAAGAATAGAGCTATGCTTGTGGTACTTCATCAGATTTATTTTAGCACTGTATGACCCATACGAGCTTAACTTTTTTGCTGAATTTAATAATACCCTAATATGTAATCTGATTAATTTATCCAGTGTTGAATAACCCATATAGATTTAGCACTTCTTATAAATATGAAATTTATCATTTTTCTTTTGTGTATGTAAATGCAGTCTCTCCTCACTTAACGACGGAATTCCGTTCCTAAGACCACATTGGTAAACGAATTCGTTGCTAAGCGAGAAGCATACTACTGTATACTGGTAGTGGGTTTGTGTCTACTATCTTTAGATATTTTTTTAATGTCACCTTTGCATCATTTATAGCATTTTTGGTATATTTTTAAATGTTTAGACAGTAGTGTACTGCATACTGTAATAAACAGAATAGAGAAAAATCAGCTCTAATATACATTATTTAGCATTGCATACTGGTTAGAGAGCTCGTCATAACTCCAAGTTGCTGTATGACCCTTGTAGGTTTACCGCTTCTTTTTTTATAATAATAATAATAACAACTCCGAGTTGTCAGTAAGTGAGGAGAGACTATATAATATATATATTTATGTATGTGTGTGTATAAGTGTACAAGTACTTATATTCAGTTACCTGCATTAGATTGTCAGACATCCTTTCCAACTAAAGTCCTGCTCATGCATGTGTTACGAACAACTACTGGCAGGGGATCTTGACAAGCTATGCACAAACTCTTCTCATCTCTGACTGGGTACTATATATCCATACCCAAATAAAAGAAATACTGAACAGGGTATTAAATTATTTAATTCCATGATTATGTTTTATGGTTTTGCTTTTTTTTACCAATATTTGATTATTATAACTGCAAAGAAGTTAAGAAATATCTGCACTATTCATAAATAGGTCTATGAATACATGCATGCAAATGGGTGATTTTTTTCTTCCAATTCAAAACTGGGGCTGTAAATCTTCAAGATTAAATGGTTAGTGTTTATCAAACATTATACACTTGTGAAAAAAATACCACAATGAAAACAGGAAATAAAACTTGGGCGCTTTTATGTGCTTTCACACATTGTCAGAGGAACAGGAAGAAGAGGCAAGAGAATCACATTTTATATGTTAAACCCTGAGTATCTTCTTCCTATTCCTCTGAAGATGTGTGTGTAAGCACATGAAAGCGCTCAAGTTTTATTTACTGATTTCACTGGGGTATTTTTTCCTGTTTTCACTGTGGTTTTTTTCTTGTTTGCGGTCATGCATTTTACTGTGATTTCTTCCATTATACACTTGTATGGTGTTCGCACAGTATCACTCTACTGTACTTCATTATTCACACACATGCACACACACACACACACACAATCAGACTTGGAACTTACCAAACATTTCATTTATTGGCTGTTAACTGTTTCACATATTAACTGTAATAAAATTACTGGCAGACTCCCAGTCTCAGCATACTGGAGGATGTTATATACATGCTGTTAATGTGATCATATTTTCAAGTCTTTGTCCTGCATACAAATACTATGTAATTTTATCTTTAAAAATTAATAGCATAAAAGGTAATAAACATTAAAAGCATAAGTATGATCAAATCTTCTTCAATAATTTAAAAAATATATTACTGGTAATAGGGTTTAACAGTATTAAGTATGCCTTTTAAACTAAAGTGCTTTAAGAAACTATTAAATTTATCACATGCTAATGAAGTACAGACTATTAAAATAAAAGGGGGGAATGTATGCCCTTGTAAATTCGTATACTGTACAATTTGTCAGATTTACCCAGTTGAGACAAAATAATATTTACTTTCTAACCTTTAAAAAATAGAATCTACGGCATTTTTGAAGGACTTATATTTATCTACCAGGAAAACAATTTCTTTTGAATGTTAAGTGAAATTAAATAAATCCTCCAATATATAGGAGTATGGGTGTCTACCAAGGATGTGTGACTAGTTTGGGCAGATGTTAGCGTTCCGGAGGTCTCTCAGTCAGACACGGTCGTCTTTTTTCTCGACACAGTTTCTTGTGCACAGGCCAATCTTTCTGCTGACAATATGTACCACAGTATCTTGCTTCCTGTAAAAAAAAAATGTGTATTGTAATTTAAAAAATTCTAATCTGAATTCATATTGATGTTTGCCTTACATTCATTCAACATTTAAGCATTTTCTGTAGCCAATAATCATCTGACATCCACTCCACATGATTAGAAAAGACATGGTATTTCTCCAAGCCTACTCTGACTTAACACCTTACATTCCATTATACTATACGAATTCATATTATTTTATTAGTGGCACACCAGCATTACATTTATGGGGAAGTGCTTAACCTGTAGGGGTCACACAGGTCCCAGTGGATGGGAGGTACAGCTTCTCCCCACTTAATGATGGGGTTCCGTTCCTAAGACCACGTCAGCAAATGAATTCGTCTCTAAACAAGGTTTGTGTCAACCATCTTTGATATTGTTTTAATGTCACCTTTGCACCATTTATAACATTTTTAGTATATTTTTAAATGTTTATACAGTAGTGTACTGTATATTGCAATAAACAAAATAGAGGAAATCAGCTTTAACCCTTTGACTGTCGCAGGCCCCTTTCTGAAACTGTCATTCTATGTCGCAAAATTTTTGAGAAAAAAAAAATTATTTTTTCTTATGAAATGATAGAGAATCTTTTCCTGATGGTAATGACACCAAAATTTCAAAATTTGGTTGAAAACCCACGGAATTACACTCCCGCGAAGTTAGCGTCTCAGCGACATATACGTATCGGCGATTTCGCCGACTTTGAGCCCTGCTTTTAGCCAATTACGTTGTTCCAGTTGACCAAACTCATAGCTATTTCTTTAGAACTCCACTTTTATCTATCAGTTGAGTACAAGAAACCGCCCATTTACCAATTTAAACTACCCAATAAAGTGGTCAGAAATTGACAATTTGGCCAATTTCACGCAAAATGAAAAAGATGCCAATTTCAAAATAGGGTCCAGAATAAACAAGGTAGACATTCTTGGCACTACAATAACATATCCTCTGTTCATTAGTCACATCTCTAGGCCCCTCTTATATTACTATTGTTTTCTATTTTGATTTTTTATTCATACAAAAAAATACAAAATTTACTGTTATGCAGACTACTGCATTATTGCAAAAATGGTATAAATAATATCAGTGCACTAGTGAAAGAATATTAGACTCCCCAGTTGACGTGTATTGGACATGTGGTGTAATTTGCTTACTCCTGAACATTGGTGAAAATCGAACATTTCTGCTACTTTGAGCTCAGTTTCAAGGTCGTTTTCATCGTGAAAGTAATGAAAATCGTGTCTATTTCTGTAATATGTTTTCCATTTTATCACCTAAGACCATGAAAACGAGAATACAACGATAAATACTATACGAAAATACACCTCAAAGTCGGTGTTTTAATCCAAAAAAACGGTCTGAGTTTTTTTTTCTCATTACGCACTGTGTGCTGCAGGATTTTTTTTATGTGGTGCACACTGACCACACAGACCCATTCTCTCACATGTGGGCCTACCAGCTTTCTCCCGCTTGATTTGAAGCCGCTAGAATTATTGAGTATATATACGTCAGAAACATTGGCGCGTAAGACATATTTATACGGCGTAAACAGTCAAAGGGTTAATATACGTGTACATTATTTAGGTATACATACTGGTCAGAGCGCCCACCATAAGTCCAAGTCGTTGGTAAATGAGTACGTCGCTAAGTGAGGAGAGGCTGTATTCAGGTTTCATCCAAGGAAGAGAAGGAGAGGTTCAATTCCTAGGATTAAGAGTACCTCACTGGCATTAACCCTTTGACTGTCGCGGTACCGTGTTTAACCCTTTGACTGTTTCAGGCCCCTCTCTGAAACTGTCATTCTATGTTGCCAAATATTTGAAAAAAAAAATTATTTTTTCTTATGAAAATGTTAGGAATATTTTTACTAGTGTTTTAAGCCTAAAAAAAATTTTTGCCATCAGTACTTACCGAGATATAGAGCCGCAAAGTTTGCAGAAATTGACGTGCGTACGGCAACAGCGGCGACTGCCGCCCACCCGGTATTCTTTTATTTACTCTAATTCAAAGGTTTCTTGCATTTTTCAATATTTTTCTTTTCCAGGTAACTTACGTGGCCTGTGAGATCAATGTAAGGTGCATTGTTCAAATATACACTCATTATTTACAACACAATAACAGAACAAACTTTATCACTATTAGTTTGTGTATACACTTTGTTTACACAAACAAACAATACAAAACAATGTTTATTACTATTGTTCCATAATAATATATACATATGTACAGTCCTAAACCCACGTTTCCTAGAACTGCTGCAGCTTGTGGAACTCTTTGAAACATGGGTATATGCAGAGGGGCAACTTCACACTCCTCACACATAAAACGAGTGTCTCTGCGTTTTTGTGGTGCGTTTTGTGGTATGCATACATACATAACACCTCTTCTGAGCATTTTTCTTGGCAGTAGTAGGAGGCAGTTGTATGGGGTAGTGATCACCAGGCCTCATACGAGATGACGTCTGTGGGCGCTGGTCTATTGCAGGAGTTGCTCCTTGGTACTTTGCAATTATTTGTCTGATTACTGACAGGCAAAATTCACCATATTTTGGTGTTTTGTTGGTCTTCAACTTGTATATGTTATAAGCATTTAGCATAGAGATATCAACAAGATGGAAAAAAAAGTTTGATATACCACTTATAACTCTTCCTACACAGTCTGCAAACCCAATCTGCATGTCACATTTGTCCACTAAGCGCATATTGAGGTTGTAGTCCATGACAGCTGCAGGCTTTAGAATGGGTTCATTGGTCTCTCTGTTGTCCCTGCCACTGGGTACCATTTCGTTTGTTTGAACTGATGTCAACAATGTGACATCATGTTTGTCATGCCACCGAAATGCCATGATGTCATTGGCAGCAAAGGCTTGCACCTCACCTCTGCGAGTGCCAGCATCGAAACCTTGGCATATGTTTGCGATTACCACGCACTGTGCCACACACGTCTGTCAAGTTCACTCGCAAGAAATCACTGAGTAAGGGGCTTGTGTACCAGTTATCAGTAAATAACATATGCCCCTTACCAAGATATGGTTCCATCATTGTTCGAACCACATCACCAGAGATACCCAATAACTTCATGGTATCTCTCAAAGTATTACTGCCAGTGTACAAAATAATATCTAAAACAAGACCACTCTGCAATCACACAGTACAAATAGCTTTATACCAAAGCGTTTCCTCTTGCTTGGTATATATTGCTTGAATGAGAGTCTTCCTTTGAATAAAATCAAGGACTCATCAATAACAAGCTTCCTGAAGGGATAAAAATACATGCAGCACTTTTGTTTCAGGTACATAAACACATTTCTTATCTTATATAACCTGTCACTTCTGTCAGGCCTGGTTTTGTCTGAAAAGTGTAACATACTAACAGAAATCAGGAAACGATTGACACCTATAATGTCACTAAAACCTGGAGTTGAAATCAGGGGATCTGTTGTCCAGTATGGTGGTGACAGTGTGCTTATACACATGTGGCATAAGCATTATTGTGGCAAAAAACAGGTACATCTCTGCCACAGTTGTCTCCTTCCACTTGTGTAGCCGTGATTTTGGTGAGAGAATTGTATTTGCCATGGTGTAATCACAGTATGTATTTGTTTCCTTGACAATGATGTCCATCAGGGGTTCATCGAAAAATAACTCAAAGCAGTCCCGTTCACTGGCATTGTTCCCAAGTGGACAAGATGGCTTTATTCCACTTTGTGTTTCCCTCAAAGTCATGGGACTGGGAACAAACACGTCACCGTCCTGCCAATCCCAGATGCGGTCTGCTGGTGGGGTCTGGATATTGTACCGTGGTTGTGGCTGTGCAGGTTGTGGCAGTGTGGGGTAGGGTGAGGCTGGTTGTTCTGCTGAGTCAGCCGCGTGGGTAGTAGCGTGGCCGGTGATGGTGCCACATGGGCTGTGCCACCCTCACTATCACCACCACTGCCTCCTCCCTCACTGTCACCATTCATACCCATCGTTACAATATCGTCATCTTCACTATCAGGTCGTGGTGTAGGGCCACGGGATGTGCTCCCAGAGTTTCTCCTTCCCCTTGGAACAACATATGAAACACTACCAGACCGCATACTACGTCGTACATACTGGCACTTCACTGGGGAATATTCACTCTCACTGTCACTAGAACTGCTTTCAATGACCTTGAAATCACTATCACTATCACTATCACTGCTATCATCAGGGTGTTGTACACGACCAAATAGTTTCCTCTTTCGTCCTGGTACAGGCGAACGTGAACTGAACAAGCCGGCACAGCACCAGAGGTCGAAGGTTGTGGGTCATCTGGGTTTTCGTCACTATTTACGTTATCCTGGGCACTTTTTTCGGTAACACTCACTTGAAAACCCTTGAATTCACTGTCACTGACATTTTCATCGCTGTTAGAGCTATCACTTGGGAACAAAAGACCTCCAATCCGCCGAGGAGTGAGGAACTTCTTACCGAGAGGCATGGTGAAAATGGACTGACAACATGGCGTTCCCACAATGCACCGCTGGGTCCCAGATTTTTTTCACAGGGTGCACACCGACCACTGAGACCCATTCTCTCCCATGTAGGCCTACCAGGCCTTTGGCGCTCGATTTGAAGCCGCTATAATTTGTGCGTATAAATACGTCAGAAACATTGGCTCGTAAGACGTATTTATACGTCGGAAACAGTCAAAGGGTTAACGTATATATACTCATAAATTCTAGTGGCTTCAAATCAAGCAGGAGAAAGCTGGTAGGCCCAAATGTGAGAGAATGGGTCTGTGTGGTCAGTGTGCACCATATAAAAAAAATCCTGGAGCACACAGTGCATAATGAAAAAAAAAACTGGACCTTTTTTTTTTAATTAAAATGCCGACTTTGTGGTCTTTTTTCGTATAGTATTTATGGTTGTATTCTCGTTTTCTTGGTCTCATTTGATAGAATGGAAAATATATTATAGAAATAGAGGTGATTTTGATTGATTTTACTATAAAAAGAACCAAGAAA